GTATTTTTTAAATACAGATTAATGTTAAATATAATGAATTAATATTTGACATTTTTACACAGTAGGATTCATAAAACTGTGGAACTGGAACACGATTTACGATTTTAAGTAATCCAAAATTCAAAATATGATGTTTTTCAGCAATCGTAAAAAAATATTTCTTAAAAACAACATCAAACACATAGAATACTGTGTAGTCAACAATTTTTATACAATCCCGCTGTAACTTATTTTTACAGGTCTTTGCTAAAACCAATTGGTGGTTTTTGACCAGTTAGGGTGAAAAAAAAACTAAAACTCTGGTTAATACTAATAATTGTTCGAATTGTTAAAAGTTGTTAGTAAAAACAGAAAAAACTGCAGGTCGACGTTATCAAAGTGTTGATTTTCCGATTGTACTGAAAAACAAACGTCAATCTTACGTTTACCAAAAAAATTCAAAAGGTTTTCAGTTTAATTCTCAATTTTGTATTCCGTCAGACAACTTTTTGAAAAAGGATCGATGTTTAAACCAGTTGTAGTATTTATACAAAACTTTATATATTGTGTTTAATTTGAAAGTTTTGATTTTATTTCTTATTCACCTTTCATTAAATATTAAAAAATCCATTAAATTACGTCCAAAAAGTATTTGTACTTTTTTCCAGCTTATTTTAAATATTACAGAATTTAAACTTTAAAAATCGAGAATTGAAAAGAAATGGAATTTAATTAATAGGATTAAAAAGGGTAATACAAGGAAAGAATCATTACGATTGTGATAAAAAAGGTTCAAGAGATACTGGATAAAATAAAAAGGTATACGAGATACTGGTTTAAATAAAAAGATATAAGAAATACTGGATAAATTAAAAAAGGTATAAGAGATACTGGATAAAATAAAAAAGGTATAAGAGATACTGGATAAAATAAAAAAGAATAAAATAAAAAGATATAAGAGATACTGGATAAAATAAAGATGTAAAAGAGATACTGGATAAAATAAAAAGGTATAAGAGATACTGGATCAAATAAAAAAGATATAAGAGATACTGGATAAAATAAAAAAGGTATAAGAGATACTGGATAAATTAAAAAAGGTATAAGAGATACTGGATAAAATAAAAAAGATATAAGAGATACTGGATGAAATAAAAAAGATATAAGAGATACTGGATAAAATAAAAAAGGTATAAGAGATACTGGATAAAATAAAAAGTAAAAGAGATACTGGAAAAAATAAAAGGTATTTGAGATTCTGGATAAAATAAAAAGATATAAGAGATACTGGATAAAATGAAAAAAGGTAAAGAGATACTAGATAAAATAAAAAGGTATAAGAGATACTGGAAAAAATAAGAGGTATAAGAGATTCTGGATAAAATATAAAGATATAAGAGATACTGGATAAAATATAAAGGTATAAGAGATACTGGATAAAATAAAAAGGTATAAGAGATACTGGATAAAAAAAGGTATAAGAGATACTGGATAAAATAAAAATGTATAAGAGATACTTGATAAAATTAAAGGTATAAGAGATACTGGATAAAATATAAAGATATAAGAGATACTGGATAAAATAAAAAGATATAAGAGATACTGGATAAAATAAAAAAGGTATAAGAGATACTGGATAAAATATAAAGGTATAAGAGATACTGGATAAAATATAAAGATATAAGAGATACTGGATAAAATAAAAAAGATATAAGAGATACTGGATAAAATAAAAAAGGTATAAGAGATACCGGATAAAATATAAAGGTATAAGAGATACTGGATAAAATATAAAGGTATAAGAGATACTGGATAAAATTTAAAGGTATAATAGATACTGGATAAAATAAAAAGGTATAAGAGATACTGGATAAAATAAAAAGATATAAGAGAAACTGGATAAAATAAAAAAGATATAAGAGATACTGGATAAAATAAAAAAGGTATAAGAGATACTGGATAAAATAAAAAGGTATAAGAGATACTGGATAAAATAAAAAGATATAAGAGATACTGGATAAAATATAAAGGTATAAGAGATACTGGATAAAATAAAAAGATATAAGAGATACTGAATAAAATAAAAAGGTATAAGAAATACTGGATAAAAAAAGGTATAAGAGATACTGGATAAAATAAAAAGGTATAAGAGATACTGGATAAAATAAAAATGTATAAGAGATACTGGATAAAATAAAAATGTATAAGAGATACTGGATAAAAGAATTGAAAGAATAAAGGATTGAAAGAATAAAGGATTGAAATAATAAAGGATTTAAAGAATAAAGAATAAAGGATTAATATAATAAAAGATTAAAAGAATAACGGTTTAAGTTTAAAAGAATAAAGGACTTAAATAATAAAGGATTGACAGAACAAAAGATTGAAAGAATAAAGGATGAAATGAATGAAGGATTAAATAAAAAATGGATTAAAGGTATGCAGGATTAAAAAATTAAGGATTAAATAGATAAAGGATTGAAAGACTAAAGGATAGAAGGAATAATGGACAGAAAGAATAAAGGATTAAAAGAATAAAGGATTGAAAGAATAAAGGATTGAAAGAATAAAGGATTGAAAGAATAAAGGATTGTAAGAATAAAGGATAGAAAGAATAAAGGATTGAAAGAATAAAGGATTGTAAGAATAAAGGATTGAATGAATAAAGGATAGAAGAATAAAGGATTGAAAGAATAAAGGATTGAAAGAATAAAGGATTGGAAGAATAAAGGATTGAAAGAATAAAGGATAGAAGAATGATGTCTGTTTATCATTCATAGCTTTACTCCCTGAATCATTGTGTTTAACAAACCAGACAGATTGCCAATTTTCCCAAAATATATATTTCTAGACAAAAATATAATATATAGAGAAAATATACAAATATTGTCAAGAAACATGAAACTTGTAGAATTAAATATAAAAATATAGAAATGTAAAAATATATATTTCTAGACAAAAATATAATATATTGAGAAAATATACAAATATTGTCAAGAAACATGAAACTTGAAGAATTATATATAAAATTGTACTAGCTTGGGAACCCAGCACTGCCCAGATTATTAAAAGTTTCTCCCGCCGTTTACCCGCACTTGGATGATTTTACCAGGAAACTAAATGTTTGCAATTATTATTATCGGACAAACAGATTTTACAACTTTATATAAATAAAAAAATGTATTTTTAGACAAAATAGAATTTACAGAGAAAATTATACAGATATTGTCGGGAAACAAGATACCTGTAGAGATATGAATTTATTTAAGACTATCTCTAGGCAGATATAAAATATAAAGATACATAGATATAAATATATGAAAAATACAGGGATAACAAAGAAAGCAATGGAATAGGAAGACTACATTTTAAATATACTCAGTATATTTAATGCTTTTACCAATAAAATAGTTTTCAAAACACTTTTTAAATCACTAATTTAGTGAAATGGGTCTGTTTAACCTGCACCTGTTCTCATACTGATTGGACTTTATATATCATAACTTGATTCTAAAAGTCGTCTTCCTATTTCAGAGTTTTTTGGTGGTCACTTTTTATTTTAACATACCTCTATGTCTATATAGATATAAAATAGAGAACAAAATAAAAAATATGGTTCGGAAATAAGGATACAGAACGCTTTTTTTTGGTAAATTTATATATCAGAACATTTTACTTCCAAAAATAGAATCACTAAATCAGAGTTTTTTTTTGCCCGCCTTAGGGTTGCAAATTAAAACAAAATTCTCTTGTTCCTTGAACTTTTTTCCTAAACATCAATTAATTACAAAGTGATAAAATTTTTTTTTATTTTATACATATTGAATTTTCATTAAGAAACAAGCTTAATAAATTTTTTAAAAAAATTGATGATTGTTAATGAACGACAAGGGGAAAATACTATTTTGTTCCTCCTCTCTAAAAATTCCCCTGCATTTGCAAAATCTTTCCTTCTTCCAGATTCTTTGTAACAAAGTTTTATTGACTTTGAAGTTTGAAATTTTAAACCTTTCCTAAACTACCTGGACTTTAAATTCTTAAAGATTTTTTCCCCGCGTTATACTTACTGATAATACTAACTTGGAAACCGAGCTTTGCCCGGAAATAAAGTTTCCATATAAAAATCAACCAACTTAGAATCTTCAAACCAAGCTAAGAATATTCCCATACCGAGTTCCCAATTCAATAATCATGAGGTTCATGAGTTATGATCGGACTCTGTAACAGACAAGCAAAGGTTTCTTCGATTTACATTTAATTTGTTCTAAAGGATTTTGTCAAACAACGCTAAGCTTTTGGTAATCTGCATTACACTCACCGAAGAAATAGCAAGTTTTGGTGGGGATTGAAATCTATATACCTATCTTTGCTAGTGGAAGCAAAGCGCCATGGAAACATATGGTCATATCATTAGGTTGCAAAGATATAAGGATTTAAATATTTGAGTTTAAAACGGGTGTTCACATCTTTTTCCAAGATAATGATCTCAAACAAACTAGGGTTTTTCCTTCCACAATTCCAACTTCCAGTTCTGGTGCCAAAATTAGTTTTCTTTATCTCGACATAATAGATTTAAGGATTAGATCTTTTTATCAAAACTTTCCAGATTAATTGCTTTCTTGGATTCAGCTCTTTTAGCCTTGGTTGATATTAATGGTCAAACTATGGGCACATTTCAAAACCATCATATTTTCTTTTATACATAAACAACAAACATTTCTTTTAGCCTTGGTTGATATTAATGGTCAAACTATGGGCACATTTCAAAACCATCATATTTTCTTTTATACATAAACAACAAACATTTCTTTTAGCCTTGGTTGATATTAATGGTCAAACTATGGGCACATTTCAAAATCATCATGTTTTCTTATATACATAAACAACAAACATTTCGTTTTCAAAACCATTCAAAAAAATTTTTTGTAGATAGAGTTATGAATGTATATAAAAAATTGTCTAGATACATTAAGCAAAGAAACATTAAAATTGTTATTACTAAATAAGTTTTGATCTTTTTTTAAATATTACTTCTTATTTGCTACAGCAATGTTTTTTGTTACTGGTAGAAAAAGGATTTGACAAAGTTGATAAATTTGTTCTCTTTCTTGATATTATTTTCTCATGTTCATCATGTGGGGGTGGGTTGGGACCGTCTTAAAGTGTGAGTGTGAGTGAGGGGGGGGGGGGTGTGTGTGTGTCAAGAATTCAAATATTCTACACGAGTTTGTCTCCTTTGAATCAGCATTCTTAGACTACAATTGTATTGAATTCAAAATCAGTTGTAAAATACATAAGTTTTACAAATTCTAGAAACTTCAACCATTTCTATGTCCGGACTTGAACAACTTCAAAAAATAGTTTATTTAAATGAATACAAAAAGATGATTTTAAAATGAAAGTTGTCCCTTAAGATTTATATAATTAAATCTTTAATTGGAACTTAAAACTTTTTTTTCAAATTAAACTCATAAACATATGTAGTTGATGATAAAAACAATGTAAAATAATGTTTTCCATCGAAATATTTAAACTATAAAGAACATGTAAAATTTGACAACAAAAAAATCCAAACTTCTTAACAATTTGGTTTGCTCTAGAAACATCATATACAAATACAAAATCTTCTCAGCTCACAATTCTAAAAACAAAAAGTAATTAATACATATTTTAATAGATAACACATCCTTAAAGGAACTGCGTATTCACAATATATAATGTATGATCCAAATATTATTTCAAACTGCAGACTTTTTGACCTAAAAGAATTCATAGTTTGAATCAAGAAAGGTCAAAGACATCAGGTTTTAAAGATATGGGATTTCCTAGGATGTTCTTAAATATCTTTCTATCTAACTACATCTATATAATAAAACAAGATATTCGTATATATGTTCCCTATGGCCGGCCAAACGGCTGGACCGAATGACCTGAAATTTGTTGTGGACACTCATGGATAGCCTGGGGATTTTATAGGCTAAAAGAAATAGTTTTTTTATTTTTATTTTTATTTTTTTTCCACAGGAAACGCCGCGCCCTTCAGCTAATATTATAAAAACTTTGTTTGTCTGCACATGTGTTTGTTTGTTTGTAACCAATAAACATCAAAACGTCTATACCAATCGGGCCCAAATTTTTTGTGGGACATCCCAATGAAGGTTTATGGATGATTATAGTTGAATAGATTTGCCTGAATTATATTTGGATATATAAAAATCCCCGAAAATAAATCAATAAAAGAGCAAGAATAAAAAGTTAAAATAAAGATGGGTGCGCTTAGTTTATGAAAAAATATTCAAACATGACATTTACCTTTTTAAAGTTAGCAGACAGAGATGAACATTCATGATGAATATCTAGGATTATTTATCTGTTAGTTTAGTTGCTTGAATATCCAGGGTATAATTTTATCGGCCTGCATCCCCCACTGCTTGTTGTAAGCCCTGAAACAAATCAAGAAATATAAAATATCATTTCCAGGTCTTCATTTGCTAAGTAAATGAACTGGAAGCATAATGTGAAGTGACACTAAATGCAAATAGACAATGTCCGAATCACACCCATACCCGTAATTAAAAGCTTTGTCTGACCAAGTATGAACAAGCTTTCAATGTTTATAAGTTCAAAAACTGATTATTTTCAATTGTGGTTTCCCTACAATAGGAAACAGGGAAACATGTATAAACTATAACAAATACACTCTTGTATGCCAAGTCCATTAGTGCCTGGTCCAATCAGAGTTCAGTGATATGTTTGTTGCCTATTCTGAACCAATAGAAACATTATGGCGGTAACATCTATCTTTCTTGCTATATATCTCATTATCCAATTAGAGATATGAATCCTTCAATCGGCGCTATCAGTAAATGGAAATATTTACTTCTAATGAAACTATGATGTATACAACTTTTAACCCTTGAAAACTGGAGATATATTAATTCCCTTTCTCAGATAAAGGGAATCATTATGAATCATGTATCCCGTCTTTACATGGAGGTTCATTTTATTTAGCCTTTCATCACAGATTCTAATTTCAAAGGTATTTAACAGACAGGATATTTCACAGACAGGACATTTAATAGACAGGACATTTCACAGACAGGACATTTCAGAGACAGAACATTTCAGAGACAGAAAATTTCAGAGACAGAACATTTCAGAGACAGAACATTTCAGAGACAGAACATTTCAGAGACAGGACATTTCAGAGACAGAACATTTCAGAGACAGGACATTTTAGAGACAGGACATTTCAGAGACAGGACATTTCAGAGACAGGACATTTCATAGACTGGATATTTCACAGGCAGGACATTTCAGAGACAGGACATTTCAGAGACAGGATATTTCAGAGACAGGACATTTCAGAGATAGGACATTTCATGACAATGCATGTCATGACAATTTCACATATGAAGTATCCATTTTTTAATTTGTATTCTTAAAAATAGATTGTTTAAACTTGAAGCTGGAATTATTGTATGACAAAAATGCTTTATAATTTTTTTGTATGTTTTTACTAAATACTTTACTTTATTTGATTTTTAGCAATTCTTAGAAAACTAAAATCATCATAATCAGAATTAGTTAAAAAAACAATTTTTAAACTTTATTTCCTCCTTAAATTTCATTGAGGTTGTTATTAATTATTCAAAAGAAGGGTTAACAATTGCCTTAATATGTAAAAGTTAAAAATCAAAATGAGTAGTAAAATTGTTCAATGTAAAAATCTAAAGTTTTGAATAATAGAAAAAAGAAAAAGGGTCCTTAACCCATACTTTAAAAAAAGTTTTAAAAAAAAACACTCGTATATTTCATGCTGTTTAACGCAACATTAAAAATAATTTGTTTAACTTGGGGCTCTGTGTTCCGGTTCTATAGTAAATGAACTATACAACGTACGTAATTTCAAAGTACCCTATAGTTCAAAGAGTTGTTTTCCAGGTTTAAAAGAATACCCTTTAAACCTTTATCTGAGAACTCAGACTAATGTTTAAAGGTTTAAAGGTTTAAAGGGTACCGTTGTTAATCAGAAAATGAATGTTCACTTTATGTTGACAGTCCAATTTATGTGTTTTCTATCTAGAATATATCTAGAATTATCTGGAAAATATCTAGAATATATCTAGAATATATCTACATAAAAATAGAAAGAAAACTTGTTTTAAAACTATTTACAGGAATTCCCACATCACACTTCCGAGGAAATATGTTTAAAAGGAGAATGAAAAATAAATGAATTTCTCAAAACTTCCTTTGAATAAAGAAAAACATGAAAAATTCGTTCTTAAAACATTGTTGAATATCAAATTTTTTAGCCAGATCTAAGATAAAAATATCTTTGTTTGATGTGGTATTTTGTGTTGATATTGAAACAATACAGATAAATAAAATTACAACTTTCAAGGTTCAGGAAGAATTTGAAAGTACATGCAAAAACATTGAAAAAAAACTATAAATAGCTAAATTTATTTTTTATTTTTGTGTCTTCTCTGTTTGCATGTAGTCCAAAATCGTGATGCGCCCTCGGGTTTATCATTGAATCCCTCGGGGGTTTAAATCTCCATTGATTTTAATTTGTCTGAGAGTAAATGATGCATTAATTTTTTTGTTAGATTTGTTTTGTTAGTTTGAATTAAAAGAATATTCGTGGGTCTGCAGCAGATGGAGAACAATGCTTGATTCATAACACAAACATTCTGACTTAAAGTAAAAAAAATCTGAGGCCAACATTTTTGTTTCGGATAGTTTCAGCGACTTAACTCGATATCCACTGCACACACTTTTGAATGGGGTTCCAAAAATCACTAGAATAGGAAGTCGACTTTTAGACTCAAGTTATGACTTTAAGTTTAATATTTATCAAGCCCATCTCCCTCAACCAACCAAAAAAACTAAAATTTCGCAGGTATTCTTAATGAATCAGCGCAAAAAAAAATTTTCGTGCACATAATTTTGCTCTGTATATCGCACAAGTTGCTCCGAAAATTTATTTTTGCCCAAATTTTACCATTTAATTTATTTTTCCCTCTGAAATGATTATTTTTACAAAAAAATATTTACAAAACCTAATGTGTGTGTAACATCATTTATTCTCATTTGTTCTCTAAATTATAAATATTAGATTAGAAATAGAATTCAACTTTAGATAAATTATAGAATAAAACTTTTCCTAACCTAGAAGTTTACTTTCTCTTTGCTTGATCATTTTCATGAATGGTTTGCTTATATACTTTTCAACTTCTCATACGTTTAAAGGGACTGTTAGCGTGTTTTCAAGTGGTCCTCCTTGAAAAGTTTTGTCTGATCAAGTATGAATCAGGTATCAATGTTTTTATTTTTTTTTACTAATCATTTTAAATTTTCAGTTCTTTACAAAATAGCGAATTCAGGGGAAGAAAGTATCAAACCATGATTTGACCACAACCTGACACTGAGTGTCAGGTTTGGGCCAAATGTGCAAAGTTATATTGTTTAATTGTTTATATTTTTCAATTTAAATCGAGAAGTAAAAAACCATCTGCATACTTTAATTTAGAACAGTTTAGGCTACATGTTTATAAAAAAAATTAAGGACTAAACCCCTACAAATTAAGAAATTTAAACTTTTGATGATAATTGATTTCATTTTAGAACATGTCACATTTTTGAAGCAAATGCAATGTTTGGGTGCAAATCACGTTTTGGATTTGAAAATGTCGCGATTTTGAAACATTTCACAGATTTGAAAAATTGATATTTTTCAATGATTTACACAGTTTGATAACAAAACAAGTTTTTCGCATCAAGTAGAATTTTAATGATGAAACAACAAAGACGTAAATAATACATTCTGTTCTGATATTTCAAAATATAAGACTTAAAAAATTTAACAATTCAATAATTAATAATATTATATTGTTCTTACAATTAAATTGAATAGAAAATTGCGGGAATTTTTTAAAAATGGAGGAAAGATCAGTATAATGTGCTTAACTAATATGTTGAAAATAGTTTCTTTAAATGATATTTGATATTGGCACAAGAAGCGTAACTAAAACGTTGATCTAAGTATTTGTGCCCAAACCAGACACTCAGTGTCAGGTTTGGAACATAATCACGGTTTGGAACTTTCTTCCCTTGGAATTTCTAATGCAAGAAAACATCTAGGAGTTACCAAGAAAATTTACCATATCTTTTACATTATTGATCAGGTAAACGTTTCAATGGTATCGTTTAGCAATATAATCATGAAAAGTCATTTGAAATTAAGCTTACAGTCCTGTTAAGTAGATTAAAAATGAAGTAAAAATAACATAAAATGTTTGTGCATTGTCATCTAACCTGGGAATAGGGTTGCCTTTAGTCCAAAGCAGTATCGTGGGATATCGAGCAATATTGAATATTTTCTTTAATTCCGGAGATTCATCCGTATTCACTTTACCAACATTAACATCATACTAAAAGTAAATGGTAAATTTAATACTTTCTTCTCTTTTTAATATCAGAGTAAATTATATTTCTTTTTAATTTTATCTGTACATGCATAATTAAAAAGAAAAACATTAAACCCCTGTCTTCAGATAAACGAGATAGATCCAGATGATTAAAACAAGATCCAATTGAATCAACATAAGCAGAGAGCGTAAGATGAGGCTAGAAATTGGGGATTGCAAAACAATGGCAAATAATTTTTAATCTTTCGGAAGAATTGAGAGCGCATGTGGTTCTTAATCTTCATAAAATCTGGATTATTCAAAACAAAGAAGAAGTATTTTTTTCATTAGGGAACTGATTACATGCCTCAAAGAAACATGATTTTGCCACAAATCCTTTTGATTTAAACCTTTGATATTTAAACTTAGACTCTTCATGATGCACAGAATTCATAGTTTGAAATATCAAAGGTCAGCGTCATCGGTTTGCAAAGATATAGATAAAAAATTTCTTATTTCTTTCTGATTTTGTCTGAATTTGTGTTTTCTCTCTTGTATTTAACAGTAAAGTACGAAAAGTACTTTACAAAGTCTAAATTTTTGTGTCAAGATTGCTGCTCAATAGTCAATAGTAGGTATGTCTTTCATAACGGAGCTGTCGATACTTAAGATCTCAATTTTATATATTCCTTAGCAAGTAGAGAGTATAAAGCGAAAAGCCACTTGTTAACCCTGTGATTTTTTTATAAAGATATTTACGTTGTGTTTTTTCAATACAAGTTTGAAGAAGAAGATTAAAAAAACCAAAATTGTGGCAAAAATTCTGATTTTTTAATTCTCAATTCCTGTTGATGTAAACCCAAAAAGAATATATTTTGACTTTTTTATTTGGAAGAATTCATTAATAATTAGTTAATATTTATCTTAAAATCGTATTTTAATGTATCGGTCCTGTTACAATATATTTTGAAGTTAAATCTAAGTGCGAGTGAAAGATTCAAATCAAAAATAGAAAATTTGTAACAAAAAAACTTATTGGAACGAAAAATTTAAAAGTTAGGGACGAACAAGGTTTATAATGTTCCTTAGAAATTATTCAGGAAATAAAATTCTGATTAGGATTTTTATCGAAAGAAGATTTGTAAAACCACTCAAAGACAAATTAATGCGGCCCTGAAACGTTTTTCAACTACTGATTCTGAACCTGAATTTGTTGGTAAATGGTTTGTAAATGTTGGTGAAAAGCTACACAAGCTGGACACCAGGGGGCAAAGAACTCTAGAAGAACTGGTTTATTACTGCTTGTAAACAAGGCATTCAAGTCCTAGTCAAAAATCTCAGATTTTATCAAGATTTGAAAAAAATGAATTTTTGACATTTGTGCACAAATTTCTAATTCCTAAATCTTTGCTATTTAATTTATTTATTTTATTGTACTGTGGCATCCATACATTGTGGAATAGGATAATGATGTTTATGCAACCTTTTGGCTAGCGATGGGCAACAGTTTTACAGAAACTTTTAATATTTTAAAACTTTTAAAAGGTTTTACGACAATATGAGAAGGGTCAAACATTTTAAAATGGTATTCTGTAGAAGTTTGCTTTTATCAGACGTGCAAATTTGTTATCCTTAGTGTAAATATAAGGCAAAAATAATTCAAAATCATCGTTTTAAAAACCCCAAAAGGATCGTTTTACAACGATCGTTTTTGCCTTATTTTCTCCAAAGCTCGGGTAACACATCTACATGTTTAATAAAGCAAACTTCTACAGAGTAAAGTTTTCATATTGTCTTAAAACCTTTAAAAACACTAACAGTTTCTGTAAAATGAATCTAGCTATTGCCCATCTCTTCCTGTGTGTCTAGTTGTTCTAAAGTTACAATTGTTTAATTTCAGTTTGGAGGATTTAAAATTGAAACTAACTAAGTTTAACAGTCGTCTTCCTGTTCCACAGTTTTATGGATCCCAATCGATTCAAATTTTTTTCAAGTTTTTAATATTTGATTAATATTTGATTAATATTTGCTTAATATTTGATTAATATTTTACTAATATTTGATTAATATTTGATTAATATTTGATTGATATTTGATTAATATTTGATTAATATTTGCTTAATATTTGATTAATATTTTACTAATATTTGATTAATATTTGATTAATATTTGATTAATATTTGATTAATATTTGATTAATATTTGATTAATATTTGATTAATATTTAATTGATTTTTAATTAATATTTGATTAATATTTGATTAATATTTGATTAATATAAAAATTGAGATTTTTCCTGAACATTGTGAATAGTTTTCACATTTGTATTCTTAAACCAATCACATCCATACTCATCCTCGCCATTCGGACAATCAATTATCTAGGAAATAATCAATTATTTAGAAAATAATCAATTATCTAGAAAATAATCAAATTATCTAGAAAATAATCAAGTATCTAGAAATTAATCAATTATCTTCAAAAGAATCAATTATTTTGAAATTAATCAATTATCTAGAAAATAATCAATTATCTTGAAAATAATCAATTATCTAGAAAAAAGTCGATTATCTAGAAAAAAATTAATTATTTAGAAAATAATCATTTATCTAGAATATAATCAATTATCTTGAAAATAATCAATTGTCTTGAAAATAATCAATTATCTAGAAAATAATCAATTATCTAGAAAATAATCAATTATCTAGAATATAATCAATTATCTAGAAAATAATCAATCTTTAGAAAATAATCATTTATCTAGAAAATAATCAATTATCTTGAAAATAATCAATTATCTTGAAAATAATCAATTATCTAGAAAATAATCAATTATCTAGAATATAATCAATTATCTAGAAAATAATCATTTATCTAGAATATAATCAATTATCTTGATAATAATCAATTGTCTTGAAAATAATCAATTATCTAGAAAATAATCAATTATCTAGAATATAATCAATTATCTAGAATATAATCAATTATCTAAAAAATAATCAATCTTTAGAAAATAATCATTAATCTAGAAAATAATCAATTATCTTGAAAATAATCAATTACCTTGAAAATGATCATTTATCTAGAAAATAATCAATTATTTTTAAAATTGCTACTAAAACTTAAAAATAATCAATTGCTTTGAAAAATTCAACTACCCGGAAAATTATCAATAATCTTGAAAATATCGATTATCTTGAAAAAATCCATTATATCATAGAAAAAAATCAATGATCTAGAAAAAATCTATTATCTAGAAAAATTCAGCTCAGAAATGATATTATTTAAAGACTATAGATTATCGATTATCAATGTAAATCAATGAAACTTAATTAAATCAATGTCTGATTCACAACGGTACCTTAAAAGCTTTTCCTGATTAATTTTGAATGAAATATGCATCTTTTTGAGAGGTTTATTTTTATTTGTGATATTAATAAAAATTACTTGATACAAATACTTTTCAACCTAGAAAACAAAGATATCTTTCACATTTTTTATATGATTAAGATTTTCAGGATACCAATTTGAATCGCTAATGTCCCTTATAAACAAATGCGGGGGGGATCCCCTGAAGATTCAAAGGGGGGGGGTACCTTAAGGTAAAAAATTACGGAAAAATTATTATAATTTTATAAATTATTTACAGTCTTTTGAAACGCCTTGACTCCCCCCCCCCCCCTTTACAAATCAACCCAATTATGCATCTGTTCAATAGACACAGTTGTGCTTATTAATTTAGATATATATGCTTTGCCCGTCAGTACTTAAATAATGAAGCTTCATGATAGGATTAGTGACAATATAGAAGCATGGGCTAAGAACTCTTGTAATGTGGATATCGAGATCACTCCTTGAAGTCAATCTGTTGTTAATCTGCAGATTAACAACAGATTTATTCGATTAGCCTCAAGGTAATCGTACCCTATAGGGATAACTGAAAATGATCCTAACTAAAAAAGCCCACAATTGATATCGAGATTAAGCGAACTGGATTATGATCATATCAAACATATACATTTAAACTATCACAAACTATTATAGTTGCACCCTGATAACGTTAGCTAGGTGACAGATTTTTCAAGCTTTGCATTTTTCGGTGAAATTCTAAGAAAAAGTGTTAATTGTTTTATTCACCTTAAGTACTCTTAATTTACCTGAATTTACCTTAATTTAACTTAATTTACCTGTATTTATCTGAATTTACCTGAATTTACTCTAATTTACCTTAATTTATCTTATTATGCCTTAATTTCCTTAATTTACCTGAATTTACCTTAATTTACCTTAATTTACCTGAATTTACCTGAATTTACCTGAATTTACCTGAATTTACCTGAATTTACCTGAATTTACCTAAATTTACCTTATCACATCTTTGACGAAACTCTTTAATTTCTCCAGTGTGACATCTAGTAGCAGAACGACCTCCAATCTGTCCTAAATTTGTATTTATTAAAGGAACAGTAAACGTCACTTTTTTGGTGGCCTCTACTTTTACGTAGTGGCATGTCTGATTCACGACTGAGCTCTGTGAACATGTGTCTACTCAAGAATATATATCCTTGTTTCCTTTAAAAACAAAACTTTCTATTTTGAAGTGAAAGTGAAAGTAACCTGCGTTCATGTAAGCTGTACTTTAAATTAAAGATATAACCTCTTTTATGTTTTATCATTCTAAAATAAATTTAATTAGAAATTCAAGGCGCTTCACGCCCTTCTTTCCAGGCTTTTAGGGCGCTTCGCGCCCATCTTCTATTTAAATTGTGAACATGTTCTTTTAGTTTATTTTTAAAACAAAGCTAAGAACAAAAAATTTTGCGGATTTAAAAAAAAAATTCGCGGATTTTCAAGGATTTAAATTTTTTACAAAATTAAAAACCTTTACAACACATTTTTTTTACTTTTATCATTCATAAACCTTCCCTGTGGTCACGTGATGTCCAACAAAAAATCGGTTCAGCCGTTTTGACGTTTATTGGATACAAACAGACAGACAAACAAACAGACAGACAAGCCAAATTTATATATAGATACACTAAACGAGAATCGGAAAGTGAATTTGTAATCCTTGCTTCGGCAGTTTTTACAGACATGGGAACTTAAGAGAGAAATATTCAAAATCGATTCAAGTGATTTCAGATTTGATAATAATGTAAAGATTCCTTCAATTTTCTTTTTATCAACTTCGTTACCTTGTCAGTCATTCCCTTAAATTGTGTGTTTACCTTGCCAGGCTGGTTTTTCCTCTTGCACAGAATGTTCTTCATTTTTGTTTGATTTTCTCGGAAGTGGATTGGTTACCACTTTAAAAAGTTCAAGTTTTTCCTTGCTGCTGGGGGTGGAATTCTGACTGCTTGAGGTGGAATTCTGGCTGCTTGGGGTATAATTGTGGCTGCTTAAGGTGGAAATCTGACTGCTTGGGGTATGATTATCCTTATTATCATTTAGGTGTTCCCTTTTATTTAATTTTCTTGGAAGTGGATTGGTGACAACTTTAAAAAACTCAATTTTTTTATAATTCTTGGTGGATGTAGGATGCTGGTTGCTAGTGGAAGGGTACTGGTTGCTAGTGGTAGAATACTGGTTACTAGTGGTAGAATACTGGTTGCTAAGGGTGGGATACTGGTTTCTAAGGGTGGGATACTGGTTGCCAGTGGTAGAATACTGGTTGCTAAGGGTAGGATACTGGTTGCTAAGGGTGGGATACTGGTTGCTAAGGGTGGGATACTGGTTGCTAGTGGAAGTGTATTGGTTGCTAAGGGTAGGGTATTTGTTGCTAAGAGTAGGATACTGGTCGCTAAGGGCTGGATACTGGGTGTTAGGATAGTATGGAGTGATGATCGTATTTAAATGTTCCCAGGGTCGGATCCTATTCTGTGTTTGTGTATAGGATTGATAAGAAATTGGCTCGTTTAAACCTCTTCTCTCCGCCTCACTGTATTCATTCAAATCTAGAAATTTACCAATTTTCTTGATTTTGCAAATAGAAATTTTAAGATGACTATATCTATAGATATTTACAAATGTTTATAATGACAATTTGTATACAGTTTTACACCGTAGGAATATAGGATTGGAATATTTTAAAAGTCAAGTTAAAGTCAAGTTAAAAAATAAAACAAAAATCGACAGTTTCCTGGTCTGATTCACAAAATCACAACAGTAACCTACGTTTTTAGTTGAACAATTCAATGAGAGAGAATCGTTCTTGTTTTATATGAAAACAAGTTCTGGTAATTTCCGTCTTTCTCTCTGCTGCATAATTATCCACAATTCCATAAGTCACGTTTACAGAAAACATTACTTAAAAACATTCTGTTTTTAGATAACTTTTGATTAAACAAAGGATTAAAATAAGAAGGGTCACTTATAATTTCATCAAACGTCCCTTTAGATGTAGAAATGAAATGAATTTCCTTGATATGCGGGAAAATGTATTCCCTCTCTTAGCTCTTGAGCCATACGGAGATATTTGGGGATAAACTGAAGTTGGTTGTTGCTGAAACGGTTGATTATAATTGGACTGATAAATCCAGGGTGGTTGATTAACTTGCTGGTAGGTAGAGATTGCTTGATTTGAAGATGTAAACCTTTCAGCCTATTAAAATATACACATCAAGCCTTTTCCTATTTTCCACAATTTTGTTTATTTTTCGTTTATCCCGAGAAAATAATCAAAACTAGCGAAAAACAAGAAAATTAGACATTTAAAGTGTCTCTTGTATACAGTGGGACCCAGAAATCTGTACAGTCGGAAGACTCACGTTATGATTTCAATTAATTCCAAGAACATGAGATCAAAACACAGCAATTTTACAGTATAGGCCTAATTCACTTAATAACTTGGTTTTCAAGAGACTGGTAAAACTATCTGCTTTACAAAAACATTAAAAACACAAAAGATTGGTTAAATGTCGTCTTCCTATTTAATTTTAGTATTGGTTCCACTATAAATCGTATTTGTCAACATTGACAAAGCGAATTGAAAAAAAAACAAATTTATGGTTAAAGGACAATAAAACAAAAAATTGGGCGGAAATTAAAGGGATTGTACGAGTGATTTCAAGTGACCTTTCCTGTAAATATGCCAATGCTTGCTTCACAACTGTATCTTTAAAAGCTTTGTCTGATCAAGGATGAAATTGAATTATATATCTATGTTTATAATTTCGAAAACTGATAAATTCACTTGTGGTTTCATACTAAAGTGACTTGCGGGTTTTTACTGGGTAAACATTATATATAAATTATCAGGATTAAACACTTTTAAGTCTATACAAACGACAATATCATTCACATTATTGATCAGAAAGAGGTTTCTAAGCTACCGTTGTGAATCAGGCATTGTTATATTTGCCTGGAGAGGGTCACTATTATCGGACCATGGTTTCTGTTGAAAGGACCTGTAATCGTAACTTGAAGTGACCTTCTAGCCACACAAGATGAGGAGCATGCTAAATTTACGTTTGTACCATTAGCACTTAGCACTGATCATAGAGGGTAGCTCACAGTATCAACTCAACGCAGCTGATGTTAATTGTTTTCATGAAAATCCCGAAAATTTTGTGTACAACGTGGTTTTCAACATCAGAGAGTTTAATATGTCTTTCCTGCGACTTTTAGAAGTAAATATCAATAATGGAGGGTCACTTGACATTACGCCAGCAGTAATTAATTGAAGAAAAAAAGAATTTTAATAAAAAAGTTCTTACTTGGAATAACGGCGGAGGACTGAAGCCGGGCGAAATAAATTCTAAAAAAGTTAAAACTTTGAATAATTTTACTTCTCAACTAGAATTGAAATTGCCAACCGAAAATGTTTTTCACTAATAAAAGGGATTAAATCTTTGCCAAAAACTGTGATAAAAGTTTATACCATCAAGTCAAAAAGATATAGGGATTATAAAATTCGAGATTGTGGCAAAGACTCAATTCCTTTGTCTAGTCTTAATTTTGATTTGTATTCAATCAGAGACCAGATGTAATGAATGCTATACATGGTTGAACCACTTCTCTTCAGCTTCAACTTAAGCACAAATGAAATGTTTGAACTACAGTGTAATTTATCAATTGTCGTCTTGACAATTTTTCAATGAGTTTTATACTATATTACGTAAATTTTAGTATTTGCGAAAATAAATATATAGCCATGAATATGCAGGAACAGTTTTAAAGAGTTCCATATAATCATTTAATTAAAAAACTAAATATCTGCAACATTCCATTTTCAGAAAGTGAAGAATAAGACGTTTGATGAATTCTCTCTCTACAATTCAGATATTTCGTTTAATTGATTTAATTTAGACTTAGGAGTTATTTTTACATCATTAAATTAACCAATTGTGTCACATTGTGTATAATATAGAAGTACAAAAACTTGCGTACATTAATTTACAAAACTAGCTGAAGGGCCCGGCGTTGCCCGTGGGAAACAATGTTGAATTAAATTTTGAATAAAAAAAAGTTTTTAATTTTTTTTAGCCTAAAACACACCTCGGGCCACCCATGAGTGTCCACAAAAAAATTAACCCCAATCGGTCCAGCCGTTTGGTCGGCTATAGGCAACATATATATATACGAATGTCTTGTTTTATTATATAGATTTTGCATGTATGGACTTAATGTGAATTAAAAAAATGAATATTTTATTCAGTATAACTTTGTAACTTTTTTATGAATTAGAATCTGAATTTTTAATTAACCAAATTTCAAAAGCTTGTTCAACTCTTTCATCATTTTTTCTCATTTCAAACATTTTACAACCATTAAAAGAAATGTAAACAATCTAAAATTGTCTGAAATATAACATGTTTGTTTGATTTCAAATTTAAGGTAGATTTATGAAAAGTACACGGTATATAATAACTAGAAAAACATGGAATGAACAGCATCTTCCTTCAATCTGTTAATAAAATCATTTATTAATAATTAACAATAGATGCTATAGATGATTTGGAATGATTAGAGGTCAGAACATTAGTGTTGTGAATCTCTTATACAGACTTTTGTTTAAATCTAATTCCACGCACTTAGATCACGTCAAACTAACTGTAACGAAGTGCATTTTGTCTGTGTTGGAACATTTAAGTCATATTTTGATCGCTCATCCAAAATCCGTTAAAAATAACGCAAAATGCTTTTTTACTTAAATATCTTAAATGCAAAGCGCAACAAAAAAGTAATAAATAATAGTTACGAAAAATCTACATATAATGGGTCAAAATTGTTTCTAAAGTTAAGACTTACTAGACTTTTTACCAAGACCTTTAGTTTACCGTGAGATATTCTGTGATGGTCAAAACCTCATGCAGGGATAATTATAATTTAGGAATAAAGCAATGATCTTCAAATTTGAAAGTGCCCACATTGGATATCGAGATCAAGTGTTCAACATTAAAAAACATTCTAATAAATAAAGTTGTTTTGAATTAGAAAATCTTGAGCGATGTTTCGAAATAAAAAGAGAGAAAGACGACGTCAACCATTTAACTATATTTTCCGACACAGTTTATGATTTGAAAAGCCTTGCATCGGGTTGCAAAGATATAGAGATTAGAAAATCAGATGTTGAGACAAAAACTCAATTCCTTAAAACCCTTTACAGGCTGGGGAGGTCTATGTATAGCCTGGAATGGATGGGGGGAGGCAAAAAAACAAGACCCCCAAGACTATTTAAGAGGGATAATCAAACGTGGTATAAACCTTATGAATATAAAAAGTAAACTGAATTAAAGAAAAGCATGCAAACTTACGATTATACAAATATGGTTTAGAATCAGCTTCAGCCCTTCCATTTACAATCACTGAACCTAAAACTGCAAAGCCAAGGAATAGAGCCAACATTTAAACCTGAAAAATGTATTTTTGCAATTACCAAAGGTACAACTATCGGATTAGTTTTACTTTTCTGAAATATGAACCGACTGTTTCGTTAACAATGTAGAAAAGACGAAAAACGAAACGATAGTTTTAAAAACGATCGTTTAACTGATCTGTATACTAGACATAAACTGATCTTTATAATCTGTATACCAGATATAAACTGATCTATATATTCTGTATTCCAGATATAAACTGATCTGTATAATCTGTATACCAGATATAAACTGATCTGTATGATCAGTAAACCTTACATAATCCTGACAATTCAGTGTCCAGCGTAGTGTCCAGTGTAGTGTCCAATGTAGTGTCCAGTACGTGTAGTGTCCAGCGTAGTGTCCAGTGTAGTGTTCAGTGTATTGTCCAGTGTAGTGTCCAGTGTAGTGTCCAATTTAGTGTCCATAGTAGTGTCCAGTGTAGTTTCCAGTGTAGTGTCCAGAGTAGTGTCCAGTGTAGTGTCCAGTGTAATGTCCAGTGTAGTGTTCAGTGTAGTGTCCAGTGTAGTGTCCAGTTTAGTGTCCAGAGTAGTGTCCAGTGTAGTTTCCAGTGTAGTGTCCAGCGTAGTGTCCAGTGTAGTGTCCAGTGTAATGTCCAGTGTAGTGTTCAGTGTAGTGTCCAGTGTAGTGTCCAGTGTAGTGTCCAGAGTAGTGTCCAGTGTAGTGTCCAGAGTAGTGTCCAGTGTAGTGTCCAGTGTAGTGTCCAGTGTAGTGTCCAGAGTAGTGTCCAGTGTATAGTGTCCAGAATAGTGTCCAGTATAGTGGCCAGTGTCATCCCAAATCTAGGACTAACCTAGATATAAATGTTTCTACTCTTTATAAACATAGTTGAGAGTTGATATTGTAAATATTTATACGATAGTAAGTATCCTTGCCAGACCTTCCTTGCAAGCAAATTTCTAAAAAATCAAAAATTCCAAAAAATATAAATCTTTATAAAGTAGTTATCTTTTTTTTCTGTTAGGATGCTTGTATATCCCATAAGTTCATACCGTAAAATTAATCAAAATCAAACAACAAAGTACAAATTTCAGAACCTTTGTTTACACATTTTATGCCTTTTTCCCACTTAAGAAATAAAAACATCTTGAATGAAAATGATTGAAAACTTGCACAAATAAATATAAGCCAACAAAGTACAAAGTTTAAAACAAAGTACAGAACTTGTACTTTTTAATCAGATACATATAGTTTAAAACAAAGGTTTACACCACCTGGTTGCAAAGATACAGGGATTAGAAAATAAGAGTTGAGGAAGGTGTTCCTTTATGAATTTATAAAGGAAGCAAAGTCAAATGGTTTAGGAGTATGCTATCAGTTTGAACTAGCTTCAAACTGATGATTATAAACAAACATCGAATTATTATGCATATTGCATATATCCCACTTTAAAGTTGAGCACTGCATGCAGGTTCAAGGGAAGAAGGTTCAAAACCCAGACCTGACACTTGAGAGTCAGAGCAGCGACATATACCTATTTGGAGCAAGAAATGAAATGTAAAGATAGATAGATAAACAACTAGCGCTATTGGAACAGTGTTCTGATTGACACTTAAGTGGCCAGAGGTCGAGTCCAAATGGAATCACCTAACAAGTGTGAACGAGTGAGAAAAAATTGTCAAATTATTGTCCAAAATGAACGTCGAAAAAAAGTCGACGCATATTCTTAAAAATTATTCAAGTAGTTCGTCTCGGAGAATTGTTTATACTGTGTCCGAATTTAATGAATTTGAGCCGCGTCATAAATCTGCTAAAAACCGGTTTAAATTGACCGCTGGCTTAAATCTTGAAAAAATTAATACATTTTTAAGTGGAACCAACAATATTTGAGTCGCGGCTTAAATTTAAACCGTGGCTCAAATTCTTTAAATTCGGCATCAGGACATTATTTTAAAGGGATCGTTTACTTATTTGGGTAATTTCATGCTAAACTAAACAGCCTATTAACTGTTGATTGGTATTAGTCTTACTTTCAAAAGATTAAGCTGTGGTCGGAGAAAAAGCTGATTTATATTTCAGAATTCCACCGCAAAGGTACGATACCAATGCCTTAAACACTGAACTTGTCAAATACACAGAGTTTTATAACTATAAAATATAGTTTGTAATTTCTAGGGTTTATACTGTCCGCCCAATGATCTACACTTCCTAACCTGATCCCCTCAATGATTTGACTAATTTATTTTAACTACCCGTAACCCAATTTTTATTAAAAATCCTGAATGTACGCAACTTTGTATTTCATGCCGGGTTCTATTCAGCTTTTTTACAGAAGCAAAACATCATATATTCAATGTGCTAAATAATTGTTGTTTTAGAGGTGAATTTTGTTTTTAAATTAAGACATTTACAATTAACTATTAAATACTACAGTTTAATTTTATATCTTAAACTTTATTTAAATCCTTTACATAGACAAAAAAACACATCAAATATAGCGTCTAGGCAAAAGTAACATACCCTTACACTGAAATTCTGAACGATAATCGGCTTTTGTCTCCGGCCATGGATGTCCTTGAGAAGTAAGATCAATATCAGTCATAGCTAATAAGCTATTATTTTTACCCTGAAATTACCCAAAAAAGTGAACGGTCCCTTTAAATCAGTTCCTTTTCATAAAGAGTTAGCGAGAAGAAGGAAAAAAAGTTTAACATTTCTATCTTGCAACCAAATAAATTATCTTTTCTAATACTTAGCTGTAGAGCTCATAATAGAGAAGCTATGAAGCTATAATGTTTAGTGAGGAGAAGATGAAAGAATATGGGGCGATGAGAAAAGGCTTTATTACTGTCACAGTCCTCAATTGTGCCTTATATCTCTATATAATAAAACAAGACATTCGTATACATATATATGTTGCGTAAAGCCGGCCAAACGGCTGGACTGATTGGGCTGACATTTGTTGTAGACGGGGGGTGTTATAGTCTAAAAAAACCCCAAGATTTCAACCTATTCCATGTCTCTGAATTTCAACATTTACAGCTTTTTTGTAAAGCCTAAGACAAAAGCAAGCAGATTGCCTAGGTTTTGTAAAGTGATGTGGCATAATTTTTCACATTTAGGGTTTGAACATTATGAAATTTTTTATATTTGAATTCATTGGGTCAACAAGGACTTTATACTTAGACACATCAGAATAGATTGCTTATGCAGACTATGAATCTGAAAATTATACAATTGTACATTAAATAGTTTGTCAGATAAAAAGAACGTTTTAATTCTTGGAGTCAATATGTAGAGAACTAATTTTAACTGATCAGTATCTTGCCGCTACTCATTTGCTTCATTGTACTGTATAGACGTAGCTAGTACAGAGCTAAATTCTTATTTTCAATTTCAGCTGAAACACCCCTGTATGGTGGAGAAGACATTAGCTGACTAGTTTATCTAGGTCTTTATAAAATGATTAATTAATCATATTTTGACAAATTTTAGTTTTTTGGATATTTGCCAGTTCGTATATTTGTTAAACAGATTACTGAAGTAGAGCCCAAGGTTTTTCTAAAAATGCATCGAAAAGCAAGGAAATGTGGGCAGAGGAGGTTTGATACGCTTCTATCTGCATATTATTGGTGACATTTTTATCATTTGATTATTATGTGTATATAGAATTATGTAAATATAAGGCTCACATACAGATTATATTCATAATATCCCGGCTTATGCTAGATCAGCTAACTTACAATTTCCCTAACCTAGGGGACAAGCAACACTCATATACAAGTACTCAATATAGTATATGAATATCGACTTTAATGCAGTTACTTTAATATGAAGGATTCATCAGCCATCAAACTAAGCGTGTATTATATTTTCCGTTTAAGGTTTCCAGCAAACGAAAAGTTTTCGTTAGTATTTCGCAAACATTCTCGGTATTTTTCGCATATTTTGAGAAATATATGAGAAAACGATACGAAATTTTTGAAAAATATTTTCGCGAAAAATAAATTCGTGAAAGAAAAAAATGCCGCGAAAACCATAAATTTTATATCTGCAACAATAATTGTTCTAAAAACTTTATATTCATTTTATTATTATTTTATATTTTCTGCTATGAGAAGTTTTTTTATTTCATAATTAATAATTTCTCTTCCTTTACTTTAATAAATGTTTAGTGAAAAATTCCGTATTTTCTAACATATATTTTCGCGAGCGAACCAAATGCGAAAATATGAAAAAATTTTGCGAACCAATTTCCCCTTTTCGCTGTAAACCCTAATTCCTTTCCAAGCTGAAAATACTGATAAACTGAATGAGGCTTTGGGGTGTAGGAGCCTTTACAATTCTTATATTTATATCTTCTAGCCTAAAATTGAACCGAAAATTGTACGCAGATATCAAAAATGGTCTCAATCTTGAGTGTAGGAGCCTTTACAATTCTTATATTATATCTTCTAGCCTAAAATTGAACCGAAAATTGTACGCAGATATCAAAAATTGAACCAAAAATTGTACGCAGATATCAAAAATTGAACCAAAAATTGTACGCAGATATAAAAAATTTAACCAAAAATTATACGCAGATATCAAAAATGGTCTCAATCTTGAAAATTACACACAAGTCTGTAGACTCGTATACAAAATTGTGTTAAGGGAGATTATTTCTATTTTTACCAAATTTACTCACTCCAGTTGGTAACTTTAGGAGCCTAGAAAAATGTCACTTTTAGATCTAAAAGACTGAAATTGGGCTTATTGAATCGGATATTGTTCGTAGATTTCAAAAATTGTCCGAACTATAAAAAAAAACGGTTACAAGCGAGACTGTAGAGTGCAGACCTATATTCCCCTGTATATATGTATATATATTATAAAGTTTTATTCACACACAAAGATAGACATGCATATATTTATGGTGTTTTAAATTTGTTTAAATATATCGAATATATAGTTTAACAAAAGAAAAAATATGCAAACTATGCAAAAATAGGCGATATATTGATCACAACTTATTTTATAACATATACATC